CCGGCCCGGGCACGGCCTGTGCCCACAAGGGGTGACAAGGGCCCTGTCATGCTGGCCGGCCCAGGGTGCCTCCCACACCCGAACATCTTGTTCCCCAGCTGGAAGAGAAGAGAGCAGCCCGGAGCCGTGTTTAGGGTGGAATTTTCTGCTTTATGCATCTGTTACAAAGGACAAAACCGTAAAAGCCTCGTACAATAGATGCGTGTGCAAAACAGGTGCTTTACAGGACTGCTCCTGGGTCATGTCCTTTGAGTATTAGGAGGACACTGGGAAAGTGACACTTCTGAGCAGCTTGTCACCTCCCTCACCTGCTGTGCTAACAGAAACCACCGTCAAGAAACAACAGGGTTTTCACAAATAAGACTACTTGCTCGAGGACATCTTGGACTAAGCTTAAATAAGCTGCTCAACCTGATGGACAAGTCTCCCACCTTTGCTGCCAATTTAACTTAAAAGCATCCAGTCACTACCTCAAATTACACCATTTTGGTTTTTTGCCTGTAGGCAAAGAAACAATATATTACTGCTTTCATTTTCTTGTTCTTACCCACTAAAGAAGCAGTAACCAACCCAATTTCCAGAGATTATCAATTTGCTACTCCCATAACAACTGGGTCGAACACAACAAGAACTGTCACTGTCAAAAACACTAGTCGTAGCACTTTAAATTTCTGACACTGTCAAGAAGTGAGGTCTCACTTTTAACAGAACACCACTGTTAAAAGTGTTCTGTAAAACCTGTGAAGTAAACATATTTCACTTTAACCTGAGACATCAAGCCATGTTAAATTCACTGGATGCAACTTTCTTCCACAGAAATCAGTGCTTGATTCCCACCTGACGTGAAGTTATCTAGCCCATCTAAGCTATATTTTCCCTTAAATCTGCTGCCTAAGAGACAGACTATTTTTCTCCTACAAAAATGCTAAAAATAGACTACTTTTCAAACCACTATAAATTTTCTTACCAACTAGATACCACTTTTAGAGGAATTCCACACCCACCAGGAAAGCATATCTGCTAATTTCAGCTGCCACACTGCAAACTGACCATATACTAACATGTGCTCTCCCTCAGCTGCAAACACCTGTTTATTTTAAGAAGAGTCGTCACTGTGTTTCCAAAACCAGCTGCCCTATCAGCTCCTTGGCATCCTGCATGCTGGAGGAGATCTCAGAACCATCTTCTGCCACATGGGTACCAATCAAGAACATCTTCCTCTCGTCCCCAATATCAGACAGAGCCAGAGCATCGTGAATATCAGTGATGCAATATGCACCTTCGAGGTCCTGTTACACAAAAATAAAATAACCCTATTAGTTGCAAGAAGTAGTGGCACCATTCCTACTTTGAGCCTCTGCTTTTGTCCAGGAGGGAAAGAGTTTCAAAGGCTCTGGGGCATCATTCTTTTGTACCTTTTATGAGGTCACTTCCCATGTCCTAAAATGCCTTGGGGAAAAGAGTTAATTTCTAACCTATCTTCTTCCTGAATATGGGTACAGTTGTTTCTATTTTTTACACCAATTCCACTGTTTCTGATATCTATGTAAGCCCACCTGCACAAGGCAGACAAAAGCACTGGTGGCCCAAGACCCCAGGTGCCCAGCAAAGATTTACAAGAATAGGGCAAATATACAACAGTCATGCCCTGCCTGCCTTCTCAGCCACCAGTGTTTCTGATGCATTTGAGGCTTATGAAGCCCACGCCTGCACTTGTGTTCAAGAGTAACAGAAATGACTACTACTAATGGGCCTCAGTTACGAGAAATTTAGGAGATAACAATGTAGAGCATACTGAGCACGCAACCTTCATAAAAGAGAATCTGTGATTAAAACCCTTGGGCTCTTCTGTCATCTGATTGTACCAGAGGTCCAACTCTTTTCAGAGGTACACCACCACTTACTTCCACAAAGATCTTAGGAGGAAGCACTGTCTTGTGAGGAAAGCTGCTCTTTCTCTCAGATTTCAGAAGCAGCCTTAGGAGCAACCAACCAGACAGTCTGAAGGCAAACAACAGTGCTTCACTCTTTAGCTGCTCCTAGGTGAAGTGGTACTTCTAGGCAGATACTCAGAACAGAAACCTAACTTCACATCTAACTGTGGTCTTCCCTGAAGCTCCCAAACCCTGCAACTGTACAGCAGTTTCCACCCACAGCTCTGATTGCATCTTCACCAAGCACAGGACCTGCATCTTGCAGATCCAAAACAACCTCAGATTATTTTGTTTTGTGGTCAACAGGTGTGTCAGAAAGACTCCCAGCCGTGTGCTCTCCTTAAAGGCATGAAGCCTCTTTTGAAAGGCTTTGTTGCTGTTTCCAAAGTTGCTGCCAGCCCAAGCTGTGGCAGCAGCAGGGAACTCTTACCTGCTTGTTGGCCAGAACTACCACAGGCAGGGTGGAGTTGTTCTGGATGAGCTGATGAAGCAGCTGTTTCGCCACAGGCAGTCGGGCATGATCGGCCGAGTCCACGACATAGACCAGCAACAGCACTTTGGGCAAGTACATGTTCCAGTATGAGCGCAGAGATTCACTGCCCCCGACTGGAAGAGAAGACAGCAGCACAGGATTCACCAAGTAATTCAACAGCACTGCTCTCAGAGGTGCAGACAGCAGGCCCTGGGCTGAAAACCCAAGGTATTTAGATTACCAAAACCTCAGAGTATTTGAGCTACTGTACGTGAGACTGAAAACAGCTTTATTTTCCCTAGTCAGGTCCCAGGAAGGCATATGTGTATGCTCTGGGGGAAAAAAAATCTTCCCATTTTAAGCTCTTATTTTGAGAGGATTCTGGGTTCAGTTTCTTTACAGCTGTTTTCTGCCTTGTTGGTTCTTGATCTCAAGCAAGTAAGAGAGTAGAAAACAGTTCAGTGTCCACAAACACCAAATGTCCCCATACAGACTATCTCCCAATGCCCATCTCGTTTTAGGACAAAGCAGGTGTACAATTTCCAGAGGAGAAATTTAGCTCTGAGGTGTGGAGGGCTCTCATTGTATTTGTATAACACTAAGAACTAGCTCAAAACTCCCACAGTTTTGTCAATGACCAAAGGTACTTAAGGAACAGACAAAAATCTAGTCCCAGCAGACTCTTCAGGCAACCCTCTGAAGTATCTTCACACAACATCCATTTCTCCATGAGCTCTTCTCTGCTGGATACAGAGGAAAGCAGTTCACCTTCAAAACTAGGTCTTAAAATAATTCTCTGGTGAAACTGTAGGCAGCAAGGTGATTGAGATTGTTGCTCCCATCTGGGGACAAAGAATTCAGTAGGTTGTTGAGTTTAATAGAAGGAATAACTATCAGTATATTAAGTATTTCAGATTTGTTTTCAGGTATCTAGGTGGTCTTCAGGCACATTGCAGGACCACTCACTCAAAGAGTACTGAGGTGCTCAAAAGGCATGTGTGAGTCTCTCAAAAGCAGCAAGTTTACAAAGCAATAATATCTGGGGTTCCCTATCACAGGAGCTCTTTTCAAAATTGTCTGACTATACAGCCATCTTTTATTGCCCTCTTTGACTGTTCTGTGTCAAAACAATTTTGCGTTCACTTAAGTCAAAAGAGTTCAGTAGTTTCAAGAATATGGAAAGGGAAGTAACATTTCCCACTAGAGCATGCCTGCCTCTTCAAGTGGCCCAACGTACCTGGAAGCAGAACTGCAAGTCTGCCACTGTGGAAAGGAGGCAGAGGGCTGTGACTGACATGTAATGTTTGGGACAGAAGCCCGATTCTGTACTGTGATACTGCAGGGGCTCAGCACTGCTCCCTTTTTTAAGTGTATTCATGCACAGCATAACCCAGGGGTCAGCAATCTCACAGAGAACATTTTTTTTCCCCAAACTTGTAGGAACTCAGGAGAAGGCAGGAGCTCCTACCACCTGCAGAGGACAAGATACCATCCAATTATCTGTATGCTGGTACAAAGAAAAAGAACAGTCTTCCACCTTTCTAAGCCAGCAAAATAAAACCCCTGCTGTTTGCTGATCACCTTGTGCCGTGCGATCACAGCACAGGCTGCTAACCCCTGGACTAGGCAATGGTACAGAGTGGGTAAGTAACCAGATTAGAGAGCCATGCATGGATTTACCTGGCTGAAACTGGCCTGAGACATTGCATTTCCCATGGGTCAGATC